TACACCTCGATATCATGAGTAATTCTCCTTAGATTGTTGGCCAAAATGACACTGACAAATTTGACAACCATTTGCCAAAATCGTGAAATCCACGAACATTCACTTGGTTTGAATAAATTTCGTCAAATGCGCCATCTTCGCAAATGAGTGCATTTCTGGACATAAGTACTCACAAGAGGGAGAGAGAGAGAGAGAGAGAGAGAGAGAGAGAGAGAGGGAGAGAGAGAGAGAGAGAGAGAGAGAGAGAGAGAGAGTTACTCCAGGCTCAGTGAAAACATGGAAAAAAGTATTTGACCCTTTACCTCCATACATCAGTATGCATATTCTCTATACTGCTCCATACACATATTTTATAAGGTGCTGACAAGGAAAATTTGTTGAAGAATCAAAAGCTCCTTTAGTTGGTGATCATTTTCTTAGTTTCCATGAGCTTAATCTGATGTGTGATTCAGGGATGATATTGCAAAGAGAAATTAAATGCTAATCACTCTTACGAGTTAAAAGGTTAACGTTGACGTGTCGAAGGTTGAAAAGTTTCTGTCAGTACTGTAACCTAGAGAATAAATTTCTTTCTTTTTTGGCTAGTCGCTCCGCGGTGGCACAACAAAGCTCCCGATTCGAAGTTAGAGGTAGACATTCAAGGGAATGGCTCGTTGCTTTGTGATGTATATGCTGATCCTGTGCCATCTTTCAAGTGGTACAAAGATGGAAAGAGAATTCTCTCATCTAAGTAAGTAAACACTGGCTGGGGTGGTGGCTTTTGTACTGAAACATGCACTGTTTAGTGGTATGCACCCTCTGGTATGTACCCTCTGGTATGTACCCTCTGGTATGTACCCTCTCGTATGCACCCTCTGGTATGCACCCTCTGGTATGCACCCTCTGGTATGCATCCCTATTGAGTAAGCATCCTCATCCCAGTAAGCACCTCTACACCAATAAATGCCCATATTTCCAATATGGTCTGTATTCTCTCTCAGTGATAGCACTGCTTGATTACATTCCCTACCATTATAGCAGCCAGTTTTGTAACTCTTTTGTTTTAATGCGAATTGGCAATGTGAGTTACGTTCTGCAGGGTCTTTTTTTTTGCTCTAAGGCAAAGAAGTGGACTTTTCTCGTATGAAGAAGTGATCAGATTCTGGGAAAAAAAGTCAAATCATTCATTCTCTATCTTGAATTCCACAGTCAACATGTCGCAATAGATGATGACAAGTTTTGGATCCAAAATGCTAGAATGCAGGAGGATGGTTTTTACCAGTGTGTTGCAGAAAACAAGCATGGAATGCTTGTATCATCCACTTGGATCTATATCCGCTGTGAGTAACGGAAGTTTTTGTCATTTACACCCAATAATAAGCATGTTTAGTAGGTGATAATTTCTGTTGTGTTTCATTTAGTGAAGACACACATTCTTCAATTGCTTACTATATTCTCAATACACTACATCCTTCCTGGGCAATGTTTAAAGAATCATAAGAAATATAATTAATACAGTCAGAAGCTTAGAAATCAGAGTATGGTTAATTCAATAGTAAATGAAATAATCACTATCCCTCGTTGACTTAACTACCCTTCCTGACCTTGAGGTGATAACCTGGTCACTCTGTGAGTTTTGCTCAACAACCTTACGAGAGGGCTTATTAATAGTTTTCGCTGAAGAATCATTGGACTCCTTAGACTTAACACTAGTATCTAGGTCTCTGTCATTACCAAGAAGCTTACTAGGCGCATGTTTTAAGAACTTCAACTTTCAACGCTTTGATTACTTCGCGTGAAGTGTCATCTTGTAAAATGTACGCTTCCGGATATGATGAATAATAATCATTAGTATAATTTCAGAGCTGAGCAAAGAGTCTCCAGCAATCTGATTGGTCGAGCGGTTCCTTATATGACGCTATATAAACCGCTCCGCCCGATTTATATTTAACAATTATTCGCCTCAGGTTTGGTGAATATCGTCGAATAATCCCCGAGACGAAGTCGAGGGGATTATTCGACAATATTCACCGAACCTGAGGCGAATAATTGTTTTAGTATAATTTCAGAGGTGAACAACAGAGAAATTTCTAAAATTATAACATTTTAGTAACATTTAGTAACATTTTATTTTAACATTTTACATAAACCGCGTGGAGCGGTTTATATAGCGTGGTATAAGTAACCTCTCGATCAATCAGATTGCTGGAAACTCTTTGCTCAGCTTTGAAATTATACTAAAAAATGTTAAAATAAAATGTTAATAAATGTTACTAAAATGTTATGATTTTAGAAATTTCTCTGTTGTTCAGCTCTGAAACTATACTAAAACAATTATTCGCCTCAGGTTCGGTAAATGTTGTCAAATAATCTCCTCGACTTCGTCTCGGAGATTATTCGACGATATTCACCGAACCTGAGGTCACTGCACCTTTTACCCAAGGACCACGAGGTAAAGGTGTTGGTTGGAGCGAAGTGTACTTCTTAAGAGGCTGATTAACGCCGCACGCTTGGCAATTTTTCACCATAGTTTCTGTTGCATCATCCATACCGGGCCAAAAAAAGAATGAGTTCGAAGAAACTGTTTAGTCTTGACGATTCCTTGAAGAGTCTTGTGCGCTAGTTTCAGAATTTTTTTTCGCAGTGACGGTGGCACTACAATTCGGTTTCCTCGGAGAACAATTCCGCCTTGAATTTGAACAAGTAATTGGGACAGCGTGATGTCTTTGCTAGTTTCGGGTCGCATGTCAGATAGGGTGACAGCCTGAAGGTCTGACAAATTTGATGTGAAATCAAATTTGATGTAGTCTTTATAAACGAAACCAGAATCCAAAAAATCATTTCGCTGATATGCTGACTACGCAAAGTAGACTGGTGCTATCTCCAAGCTAAACGCTGAATACGCGGTGGTAAACTTTTGCTCGAGTGCGGATTGAGCATAGTAGAGAGAGGTTTGTTGTCGGTTAGCAAGGTGAATTCTAAGCCAAGCAGATGATCGTGCAAACGTTCAACAGCCCAAACGCAACCTAGCGCTTCGCGCTCAATCTGCGAATATTTCCTTTCCGTCGATGTAACTGATCGACTGATATAAGCGGTAGGTTTACGCTCACCAGTTCCTTGTAGGCCTAGCCACAAGTTGCCAATGAATCCCAAAAGTTTCCGATAAAAGTGTCTAAAAGTTGCCAAAAAGTTGCCGAAAAGTTGCTGAATTTACAAAAAGTTGCCAAAATTTTTCTGCTTTTCGTACCTTTTTTGCGTGTCAAAGATTAAAAATTCGCACATTGCTTCTTATCAAAACTTTATTTGTCAAAGTCCAATGATAATGTCAGAGGTTCTTTCCATTTCACTTGATCAACAAGTAGTCACTGTAATTGTCCGCCATCTTGAAAAACGTGCAACGTGATACCGCTGGCCTCGTGATGAGGCATCACAAAAATCAATCCATTGGGGGGGCCTAATTGTTGTCTTTTAGAATAAATTGAACAAATGTATATCGAAAACTGACCAATGTGGCTCAAAACGTGAAGAAAGGGGCTTCAAAGAACCTCAAAAAGCCCAAAGTTGCCGAAAATTCTAAAAGTTGCCGAAAATTCTAAAAGTTGCCAAAATTCTGAAAAGTTGCCGAGCAACTTGTGGCTAAGCCTAGTTCCTTGATCTTGCAGTAGAATTGTCCCTAAACCGACCGTCGGACTGGCATCAGAGACAATATACGTTGGAGTGTCCAAACGGAAACAAGCCAAGGCTGGTACGCCAGATAATGCTTCTTTCAAGACTTCGAATGCCTTTACTTGCTCACACCCCCATGACCACTTCTGCTCTTTTCGAGTGAGTTTTCGAGGCGGGTCGACTATGTTCACATAATTTGGGATAAACCTAGAAACATAGCCACAAGTTCCAAGAAACGACCGAAGATCGGATACGTTGTTGGAAGAAGGTGTAGCTTTGATAGCCTCCGTTTTCGCCGGATCAGGTTCGATTCCTTTTTCAGAGACAGCGTGGCCTAAAATCGAAATTTGCTTTACCCCAAAGTCACACTTGCTACGATTAAGCTTGAGGTTGTGCTTTCGGCATCGATTGAAAACTTTGCGGACCCACTGAGCGAGTTTAGCCATGTGGTCTTGCCATAGATAATTACATCATCGACCGAAATGCGGACACCCTGGACGCCAAACAAAATTTTATTCATCATTCTCTGGAAGGCTTCGCTCGTGTCGCTGAGAAAGAAAAAAGTTCGCTTGAATCGGCAACAACCACGGGGCGCAATAAACGTGGTGACATAACGCGACTCTTGAAAATACCCATTTTTGGCGTCGATCTTAGCGAAGTACTTAGAACCATGCAAAGTATGCAAGGTATCCTCGATCCCAGGTAGAACATATCGCTCTCTAGTAACACATTGGCGACGAGGAAGAGATTCGAACTACTGAACAGGTAGACGAAACCGAACCGCCAGAAAAGGCTGAAGAAAATGAACAGCCAGAACCGGCAGAGAGTCCATGAGAGATGCAACAATTGTTACCTGCACCCGCACCGTTCAACATCGATCTTTACAGCGAGTGGAGAAACTGGGTTAGTGTCTTTGAAATCTAAGCCATTGCATCAGACTGGCAGAAAAAGGCAGATCCCGTCCTCGTCGCTAATGTGTTGTGTATTCATGTAGTGGGGACACACACTCTTCAATTGCTTAATATATTCTCAATACACTATAATTTCCTTTATTCTCCTGATCTCGGTGTGTGATTGAGGGCTGACATTATAGGGAGAAATTAGATGCTAATCACGCACAGAGCATCAAAAGGTTAATTCAAACAACTTTATGCATTTAAATGATTGTGATTTGCTTTTTTTTTTCAGTTAAAGAACCAACGTTTTCTAAACCTCTTGGTCCCTTTTACTTGTTCAAGAATAGTCAAGGCGTCCTCAAATGCGAATCAGAAGCTGCTCCTCCTCCAACATTCGAGTGGTTCAGAGGTGTTACACAGATCACAACTGGCGGACGCTACACTGTTCAGGCAGATGGCGTCTTGTGGATCAATGATGTTACTGAAGGTGATAAGGGCGAATATCGTTGTAAAGCCACGAACTTCTTGGCCACGGCCGAGGATGTTGGAACAGCAACTGTTTATGGTAAGAAAGTCATATTATATAGTGTAGAGATTGCTATAGGATCGCTCCCGAATTTCGACCCACGATTTACACGTGTATCAAGCGTGTTTTTGTGGGAATTGTGCACACTTGATTTGTGCGTAGAGGAGGGGTGCGCGTTCGGTAGCTGAATTACGTGTGAATTACACGCAAGTCTTTGGCAACTTGCCACGGCTGCATTCATCCCTTTGTAGGCTGGAAGAAGCTGTTATGTACTCGAACAGGAAAGATAAAGTAAATTTTTCCAAGGAAATTTTTTGATAGGATAGTTTGGAAAGAAATATCTGACGCCACCTTGACGGGAACAGCCTGTTCAAAGGAAGAATTAAAGCATTGTTTAGCTCTGTTGGTTTGACCGTATCACACCCAAGATCTCATGAATAGCTCTGTATGCCATTCAATTCTTAAGAATTTGTAATAAGGTTAACTAATAATCCCCTAATTGATCTTTTCCTTTGTTGTCATCCTTTGTTTGCTTGATATAGTATATTGATATTGCAAGGAGAAATTCTGTCTTAGTCACTTATGGCAGTCACAAAGGGTTTGTGTATTGTTTTCTTTTCTACAGAAAGAACACGAATTACAGTTAAACCAGAAAACAAGCTTGTTCCACAACGCGTCAATATCGACCTTCGTTGCCGGGCAAAGGCTGATACACGACTGGAACTAAAGTATTACTGGAGGAGAGATGATGCAGCTATTGAGTACAACTCAAAGATAGAGTGGTTAGAGCGAGAAAACGTTTTAAAAATCTACGATATAAGAGTTGACGACACTGGCAATTACACCTGTGTCGCTTACACGCCTGAACCTAAGTGGTCGGAAGACCAGGCATCAGCTGAAGTTAATATTGAAGGTTTGTTTACATTAATGCATCGGGTAATTCAAAGCCTCAACATCCCCTCCTACCCCCGCACGGGCATTTCAACTTTTTGAAGATGGTCTCGTTCCAATTCTGGATACTCGAACATGGCTCATAAGAGGTATTTATTGAAAGTTCTAGAAGTAGCAATTGAGGAAGAGAGAATTAAATCGCTGTCCTCAAATGTTAAAATAGGTTAACCTTTGATCGCTGATAATTTATCTGCAGTGTTTGACCGCGTGTCCTTTCTTTATTCTCCAGGAGTTCCGTTCCCTCCAACCAGCGTCAAAATAAATAAGAAAACGTGCATCAATCGGACAACAGTACTTGAATGGACTACCGTACCCTCCAATGATGCTCCAATTTTGCACTTCCTGATTGAACAGGAATCGAACCATGAACCAGATGTGTTTTATCTCCTCTTCAATGTGACAAATCCCAATGCAAAATCCGTCGTGCTTAACCTTACCGGCTGGTCGACTTTGCGTTTCCGCATAAGAGCTGTAAACAGCTTTGGCACAAGCCGTCATAGTTTACCCACAGGCGCTAGAATTTGTACAACATCTAAGTCAGGTGTGTTTGTGTTTTTGTGTGTAAACACAGCAGTCAAACATAGGGCTTGCATAGGGGATCAATTTTGGGTGTTCGTGCGCCAATTTCCCGCACAAAATTCACAAGTAAAAGAAAGGCACCACCTCTGTCTCAAAATAAGCGAAAGAAATTGAAACGTTGATAGAAATCCCTTAAAGGAAACAAAGTTGGGAGAAGGAAAACTTGAGACTTTTCGAACAAAAATCTATTTCGAAATTAGATATTGACTTCTCTGTTTTCTTACAGCTCCAGAGAAATTTCCAGAGAACTTACGTGGTGCACCAAAGAGGGCCGGTGAACTAGATATTACCTGGACGGTACGTACCTTTTGATTGGCCGAGGCTTAGCACGTGACTTGAAAATAATAATTCTGGATTGCTCTGGTGTTGTCTTACTATGCTCTGTGATTGGTCCAGGGAACTCGCGTCACTTTCTCAACCAATCAGATGCAAATCTAAAACTAATCACTCTTTGGTCGCCCGCGCCTTGGGCCATTTGATTATCTTAAGTTTGAATTCTCATTGGCCCCTTAAGGTATTTTCCTTTCTTCTGATTGGGTACCTTTGTTGTGATTACTTTGGTTTTTGTTTTACGACACTCAATCGATAAGCGCTCTATTGTAAAATCTGCAAGATTTTCATTTGAATTGAAAGTATTTTTTATAATTTATTCTAATAAAACAGAAAATGCCGAAGGTGTATTGGAACGGACCCGGATTTTACTATTTATTGGAGTACAAAAAGGTCTTAGAACCGGTGAATGAAGATTCTCCTGGTCAGTGGCAAAACACCAGAATCCATGCTGAAGTGTCTTCCTTTAAAATCTACAATCCTGGATACTATGAACTTTGGGAGTTTAGGATTTGCACTGGGAACAATTTGGGCCAAGGACCCTTCAGTGGCATCGAACGATCCCGTTTTGGCCAAGATCCATCTCAAGTCAAACCAACAGATACAAAGGTGAGGAAAAGACAAGCGCGCAGTGTGGAGGTTTCATGGAAGCCTCTGTTTCAAAAGCAGCGGTGCTCATAAGTTTTTGATTTATCAAATTATGATACTAGACTAGTGGGGCACGAAGTTGTCAAAAGTATTCCCTAAAATGGGAATTCTCTACATGCTGTGAACTGCAGCATGCATGATAATCCCAGATTATACAAGGGACCGTAGGTCCTTAAGTATAAGATAGATTTACGAGAAACATGAGACGGGATGTAACAATGGAATGCCAACTTTATTTCGCTCCAACAACATTGATTTACAGAACTCAACCTGAAAAAACAAGAAAAACGAGTTCAACGGCCTCGTGGTCCCATAAGTCCTTGCAGTCGCACACCACAGTGCCTTTTTGTTGAGCAAGCCAACCTGGAAAGAACAGAAGAAAAGAGGAAAAATGCAAAAACAAAGAAACGTCAAACATGAGGGTTATGGGTGTGGGTGGGATTGCATTGTTACATTCCGTCTCATGCTTCTCGTATAATCTATCTTATACCTCAGGACCTACGGTCCCTTCTATAATCTGAGATTATACTTCAAAACTTTGGACTCCATGTAACAATGTTTGTTCAAAGATGGCCATCTACCCTGGGAACGGAAAGAACTGATCAACTTACGTCAGGGTGAAGCACAGGTTTATAGTAGAAACGCTTAAAAGTGGAATCAGATGACCAGCAGGCAATGGAAAAAATATCTGACAAAGCGACCCCACCCTTGGCAGCATCAGAGGCCGATGCCCCACGCACTGAATGAGGTTTAAATTGAGATGTATTAATGCCTGCTGCTTGTAGCAGACTTCGTACCCCCCCTAGCAACTGTACTGGCCGAAACGGGTTTATGAGGTTGGACTACTGATAGGAAAAGCCGATTTTCCTGTGCAGCAAGAACAGACCTCATCTCCCTAGTACGAGATTCATAATCCTTGAGGCACTCGACAAAACACAATTTTTTATCCCCAGGGAAGCTGGCATGAACGGACTGCTATAAATTATTTCCAGTTCGAATAGAGTGTGTGCGGTCACATGACTATGACGTGGTTTCATGAATTTGGTGAATGTCCTGGGGGCACTGGCCAGCCCAAATGGCAGACATGCAAAATCCCTTAGAGTTTTCTTCCAGTTGAACCTTAAGAATTTTTGATGGCCTTTCCAGACCGGGACAGTGAGGTAGGCGTTTTTGAACTCCAGTTTGACCATAAAATCCCCTTTTTGTAATAGGCCTCGTAACATATGAATTCTCTCCATTTTGAAATGTTGGAAGTTCACGAAGGAATTTAGATTCTTTAGGTTTACAACCAGGCGGTGGCCACCGTCCTTTTTGTTGACTAGAAATGTACTGCTGACGAATTCTCCATCGGTGTTGGAGAAGACTGAGGGGATGGCTCCTTGCAGAGCCACTTCGTCTATCTCTGCTTGAACAGCCTCCTGCTGGGCTGTTGACATGAAAGTGCGAGGCCAGGCTACCTGGCGAGGCAGAGAATGAAACTCTATTTTGTAACCCATAATAGTCTCCAACACCCAAGGGTCGTCCGTAATAAGATGCCAATTGTTCTGAAAAAATCTGAATCGTCCAGCTATTTGTGCTGGGGCCGTGTTTACTGGTAAAAGATTGAGGACATACCTTTGTTCACTGGTTGGTTGAGGTTTGGCTTGTGGGTGGGGGAAAGCCCCTTCCCCTCGGTTGAAAAAGACGGGATCTGGTTTGCCAACGTCCTTGGCGGGTCCCCCGTCGTAGGTTGCTCCATGACCCTCCACGTGCCAGGTAGGAGCGTCCACTTGGAGGGGCGGGCCAAAAAGCTGTTGCCCTACTTTCTTAGCTTCAGTAATTGCTTTCGCCGTTTCTGTACGCTCTTTAAGACGTGACTCAAAACCTTTGCCAAATAGATCTTTGCCTGCACCAGGGAAGGCCTCCTTACCAAGGGATGCATAAGCCTTGTTCTCCTTAGATAGGACTGCTACCCTACGTTTTTGTGAGATTGTGGCTGGAGCGTGTCCGGCCAATTGAATTGACCTTTGGATGATTGCCATGAGGCCAGTCCCTTCCTCTCTTGAGAATTGGATAATAGAGGAAGGAGCATCAAGCTTGTCCAGTAAGTGTTCATGGGCAGTGCTTAGAGGGCCCATAATGTCGAGCACTTTATCATGAATCTCCCTCAACTCGGCGTCAGGGCTGGTTAGACCGCCCATGAGACCAGGAAGGTAAGAGTCCAAGCGTGGAGTGAACGCTGCATCCAAGTTGGGTCTAGGGTACTCTTTAACGATCTGACGCTTGTCAAATTTTGATAATGGCGTCCTTGTGGTGCCCAGAAACGTCGAGAGCTCTTCCGAAGCCTGCCATCTGGCTGCATTCACTCGCCCATAACTAGAAAATGTCACGACGATGTCCACGAACATGAAAATCTTAATCCATCACTCGAAACGGACCTACAACTACCAGGTCTGAAGATCTCACACATCAATGTAAATGGTCTTCTTAATAAGTTATTGGATATTAAAGCTCTACTACTTTCGATAAATTTCGACATTTTAGCCATAACTGAATCCCATCTAAGTAACGATATTATTGATGACGAAATCGCCATTACTGGATATAAAACTACCCGATGCGATCGAAACGATGGCCGAAAAGGCGGTGGCACAGTTATCTACTTTGCTGAATATTTAGATGCATAGGAGCGTCGAGACATAACTGTAAACAACTCTCTAAAAGCTGCCTGGATTGACGTTACGGTAGCGTCTCGGAGACTTCTAGTTGCCTCTATGTGTCGCCCACCTGAAGACACTACGTTCCTAAATAAATTTTCTTTTACTTTGGATCGCATATGGATGAAACGAAGCAATATCATTTTACTGGGGGAATTCAGTTTTAATCTTTTGCCAAAACCGCGGGACACATGTTCTTCAACCTGAAAATTCCGTCAACTTTTTTAATAAGTTTAATCTAAAGAACGTCATTAACAAAGCGACAAGGATCATAGATCTAGTAATCTGCTCTCACACTTCAATAATTTCTCACCAGGGTGTTTGTGATTTAGGAATTTCAGATCACCACTTAATATAGGCAATCGTAAATCTCAAAAGAAAACGTCAGAAGCCAACGCTCGAAACAGTCTATGATTACAAAAAAGTAGATCTCGACTCATTAGGAACGGACTTTGCTGCTTCCCCATGGAGTATCTGCAATGTCTTTGACGATCTAGACGATGCTACTTGGGCTTGGGAGTGTTTATACAAGGACATTATGAAATCTCACGTCCACGCTCGACGCGTGAATAAAGATAAGAAGAGGAGGCCTACCCTGGATGAACTCTTCCGTACGTAAAGAGCTGAACAAACGCTATAAACTACTCCTTAAAGCACAGAAAACACCGATGGGCTCACAAGCCTGGATAGATTATAAGAAGGCAAGAAATGAATGCACCAAACTCCTTAGATTAGCGGAATCAAATCATTGGCTATCAAAATTTAATGAGACAACCTCTCCTAGAGATTTTTGGAAGACAGTAAGATCTTTCGAGGGAAAACGAACAACTACAAATATCGTTCCGATTAAAGATAGTGCCGGAGTTGTTCATTCAGACGACACATCAAAGGCCAACAATTTAAATTCTTTTTTTGTCAGTGTTGGAAAAGCCCTCTCGAAATCAACACAAGATTCTTCAATAAACTCTCCTTATCAGTCCGCAAAAAATAACGGTGCCTCTCTTTATAACATAGCTCTTAACAGAGATCTTTTGAAATCTTCTCTGAGGTGTTTGAAACCTGGCAAGGCGAGTGGACCTGACTATATATCCAGCAGGGAGCTGCGCCTTATTAGAGATGCATTTTTGGATTGCTTTATGCCACTGGCTCAAAGAAGTATTTTGGAATGCAAATTCCACAGCCAGTGGAAACAAGCACAAGTAAAATGTCTTCACAAGAAGGGGAACACTCTCGACTGTGGAAACTACAAGCCTATTACCTTTCTCAGCATTCCGGGAAAGCTATTGGAGAATGTTGTAAGCCAACAACTTGACAACTTCTTATATGGCAACAATCTAATCTCCTTGAATTAATGGGACTTCAGAAAAGGAAGCTCACCTGAACTTCTTTTACTCTCATTAACAGAACGCTGGCGTTTAGCCTTGGATGAAAGCAATATTGTTGGCGTAGTCTACCTAGCTTTTCAGAAAGCGTTTGATTGCGTCAACCATACCGTTCTTATGGATAAATTACACTCTATAGGCATTAGTGGCTCCTTTTACGATTGGCCCCTAAATTACGTTGAAAATCGTAAACAATTTGTCAACGTAAATGGTTCAAATTCAGAATTGTTGGAAATAGATACTGGTGTGCTCCAAGGGTCTTTACTTGGTCCCAGACTTTAAAGCATTTACTCAAATGGTCTGCCCGGAGCCACGACGAACGCTTCCGTTGAAATGTTTGCAGATGATACTACAGTTTTCTGCATTGGAAATACAGTCGATGAAGTCTTATCTAAGATTCAGAAAGCGATCGTCGACTTAAACAAATGAGCTAAGGATAACTTCATGACTATTCATCCTGCAAAAACTGAACTAATGTTGTCATCACAATCAAAATTCATCGGACCCTTACAGTTAAATTTGTGTAGGGCAAAATGAGTTGTCGTTTGTTTCCAAAGCTACATGTTTAGGGATTCTTATCGATAATAAACTGTCTTGGTCGCCACATGCAAAATATTTTAGCAAGCGTTTTTCAGTAAGAGTGAAGAAACTCGAACACTTAAAAGGACTCGACAATCGCGTCTTAGAGTGAATTTATTTCAAAGGTATTATTCCAAGTATTACGTATTCAATTGCAACTATGGGGATCTTCAAAGTCACTTCAGACCCCAGAGGACATTCACATTGGAGCCGCGAGGTTTATTTTTAACCTAAAGGAATCCGTAACCCTGAAGTCCTGGCAGCGACAAAATGGAAGTCCTTATCATACACCTACAAAGAGAGGATTGCAACTATATCTTATCAGGCATTTTACAATAGAGCTCCGGCTGGTATAAGCTCTCTATTTATTAAACACTCTCCGTTGAGAAATCTAAGGGACAGTCTGAAACTATACGTGCAACACCCTAAAAGTGACTTCCGTCGATCTTCTTTCTCTCTCCACGCGACTATTCTATGGAACAACTTTCCCATGTACTTGCTTTTCTTGTTTTTTTCTGGTTGAGTTCTGTAAATCGCTGTTGTTGGAGCGAAATAAAGTTGGCATTGCATTGTTACGTGGAGTCGAATGTTTTGAAGTATAATTAAGTTACAAAGCAGTGTTAAAAGACAAAGAATTTAACACCTGCGGTAGTACTCCTTCCTTACCCAGTAACTTTGTCAATCTCATAAAGTTTGAATATTGTACGGGTAAAATGTTTTGTGCTTTTTTAAAGTGTTTTATAACGGTTGTTAGATAATTTTTTGGATTTGAAACATAGTGGTCTTATTGATGGAGGGGCTTATACTTAGAATTTCACGGTATATTTACAGCTGTACTTCCAAGAAATTGCATTTACTAGGGTTGCAGGTTATAGTACAAACTTCTTTAGCAAATTAACCAAAAACGATTGACCTTTTATTGTGATTATAATTCCTTCCAGACCAGTGTTATGATTGTCATTGCAGTGGGATGTGGAGTTGTGTTTGGAATTTTTCTCATTTTCTTTGTTGTATTTTGCAAGCGAAGGCAATTGTAAGTCTGATCTAATTTTTTCAAGTCTTGACCCATCATCTCTTTTACTGTGTGTTGATAGTTTTAAATTTGATGAGGTTGTCATGTGGGTGCTACACTTAAATGCGACATTCAAAGCAAGTGACGGAACACATTAAAAAGCCCAGATTAAAAGACTTTTGCAATGGAGAATTTTGACGGACCAAATATCAGTACATGTGGTACTTAATCTGTGAATTTAATTGCATGGTCAAATGTGACAAATTGACTAGCTGAAAGTATTTTCACGTTGTTTGTTCCCTCCTTGTGGTTCATAAACATTTGACAGCTACTATTCAATTGCTGGAACCTCTTGTGAAAGCAAGTGATCAACCAGTGCAATGTCTTTGCTACGTCGTCGCTCTACATCTTCAGCCTTTGTCCAAGACATATCAGCTTCAAGCTGATAGGCTCCTGAGGCCTCATGTGGACAGATTGGGCACTATTCCTGTGAAAAAAAAAAAAAAAGAAGAAAAGAACATGTAATGATGACTTGAAAGTGTTTGTTTTATTCTGACCTAAATTTAATGTCATTTGTGATCTACTAATAATCAGATAAACAGCAACATGGAATCTGTTTTTAACTGACATGCATTTTGATTGTGTCCTACTTATGATCTATTGGATGACAGGAGTATCATGTGATAATGTAACCATTACAAATTTGTATCTACTAAATAATACAAACAAATAGTTTCCATATTATGGGTTGTCTGTTCAGTAATAACTCACAGAAGACTTGAAAATGTAGTACACTTGACTAAGGCTTGTCAGTCACTCATAAGTTCTCACCAAATTTTGATGTGATTTGTGATGTAATGCTGAACAGACCAATAGCAACTTGAAATATATTCATTTGAACTCATTACAACTGTTTTTGACCACTGTTGAGCAAGATTATGCGCATGTTTTTTAGCATGTTAAGTATTTTTTTCTTAAATTTGCTATTTACTCGAGTTGTTAGTAAAGTTCCACTTCAATGACAGATAGCTAAAATCAGGTTTTTACTCGTAACCTGTGTGTTTTGAGTTTTTTATTGTATTCGAATTCCTCAAACAGGAAAAACAAGCAACAAGAAACAAAGCCAGCAGGTAAATTTTATTTTCATCAGGCCTTAATTATACAACAATATTCTACAAATAAACCTCCAACTACGAGGTCATGTATGAGTAAGAATTATTGGGCTGTGAAGGTACAATGTACATCGTTGAGTCCAAATATTATGCATTGCAATCAATGCCTATGATTAAATGCTTACTTGGCAATTAAAATCAGCAAACAATATACATACACGTATGTTGAAAGAATATCACAGTAAATGGATAAAGGAAAATATGGAAAATTTAAAATTGAATTGAATAGATACAAGATCCTCAGGTTCTAGAGGAGGCTTGTTGTATTATTATGGGTCTCAAATGCATAATTAAGGTAGTTATTGCAGTTTTTACCCTCAGATTAGCCAAGAATGCCTCATGTTATCACGGTAATTCAGTTAAAACTATAATTCTGAAAATGAGTATACTCAAACTTATCAGATAGAAGTTGTCATCTTAATCTAACACCAAATTCTTGCAACTAATTTACAAGGAAATGTCCAGCAGCAAGAGGGGAGAATTAATAATCTGAACTTTGGAGTCCGGAAAGGGTTAAAGAGGATAAGATTTGAAACAGTTACTGTAGTAATTTTTTGTGGCTACTGCCCCCTGTAGAAACTACATATGTTATAAAAAAGAGTAAGTGAGTGAGTGATGGTAACTATTACAATCATAGTTGCCGAACTTCACCCAATTTTGAATCGATTTCTCTTAATAATTGTTCCATAATATTTTCGCAGTTCGATATTTGCGGTAGAGATGATTGGCTGCATCAAACACTAAAGAAAGATTAGAATGCATTTTTAAACAAATCATTTTTCCTCTAAAAAAGTTCCAAAATGTTTTTTTTTTTCGGTTCTTGCCGTGACACGACAAGAGGCAGCAGATGAGACGACAAATCATTTCATGATGGCACTCGATTAAATACAAAAGCTTTCCATTTAGAGATATCTTAATTAGGCTCTGTTAGGGTAGGTCTTTATTTCCCCCGGCTGAGTTTCAAACCTTCGCATGTCACAATTTCGGAAGGTTCGTTTTCGGAATTATGTTCGGCATAAATAAGTTCTCGCAATACTGTCCCCGAAACATTTTATTTTCGGATAAGTAAATATCTCCAAATCAAAACTTAATAGCCTTGCATGGGAATGCAGAGAGAGGAAACTTGGTAAAGGTTAAATCTGCCAAGGCTATGTTTCATTTTTTAACGGACTTAGAATATTGGCTAGGCGAGTAGCTCTAAAGTTGCTTGTATCACATTTTAACTTTCATACGAAGAACTCTTTAAGTTTAAGAGGGCCTCCTTAATGACCTTAATAGATGTGATTGGCTCATCAGGAAAGCTCAGAGGAAAATTTTTTCTTTGAAGAGAGAGAATTTTACCGTTTGAATCAGTGACTCATGCCAAAAGAGCCACTAAATCTGCGAAGAGAGCAAGCAGCGAAGATATAATTTTCCGAAGATATGATCTTTTCAGTTCTTGCCGTGACATGAGGGTCCGGACCGGTCCCTTTCCTTTTTATGTGAAGCGTGATTGGGCGATTTTTTTTTCTCGTGAATCGTGATTTGACTTTTTTTTTAACTCGTGAATCGTAATTGAAGATAGTAAGACCTCTTCATGTCCACGTGAAATAATTTTTGTATTTAAACGTGACCCGTGAATTAAGAGCTGAATTAAACGTGATTCATGAACCATTTTCATTTGCGAGATGAATTTCCGGCTATTTTATGATTTTGCAAATATACGTATTGTTGTCGAACGGCTGTGATTAGGTTTTGACAAGAGTTTTCGACAGGAGATATCCTTGGAATGGATTGATTTAAGTCATAAAACAGCTAATAATTCTTAAACAAACAAAATAACACATTGCGTCATTTTTTGTCGTGTAAGACTCGTCACGATTAGAAAAAGTAAAATATCAATTCAATGTAATTGTCTCGAATTTTGCGCGAACGTGAAAGAGTTTTGAACATTATTCGTGAAAAGTCCAAATATTTTTACGAGGCTGAGTTTTGTAAAGGGGTACAGGGGACCCTCTGACACTAGCTACAAAAGACGAAGTAATTTGTCAGTGGCATCCACCGACGCATAGTCTAATTTAAAACCTTTTTTTGCAGAAATATCTCAATAGGTGTGCTCTGTCCATTCTGGAAACTTTGAGGAAAATGTTTTCCTTCTAAAGGAGAGCATTTTACCCTTGGAATAGAGCCGCTAAATTTGCGAAGCGAGCAAGCTGCGAAATACGATACCTTTAGCTTACAGGCTGACCCTACTAAATGGAACGATGGAACGGCGAAATGGCCCAATGGCGGAATATCCTAAAACATGGAGTGACAGAATACCCTAAGATGCGGAATGGCAGCTTATCTTAAAACGCGGAATGCTTTGTTGTATGAAACTAAAGTCTGACAAAAATGGAATTGCAATAGAATAATTAGAACTCACTTTCTAATTTACCGGCAAAATTAAAGGAAACATGGGTTAATCGTTATTGGAGCGTAGAGGATAGGGGATCCGTGAAGCATTCAAACTGGTCCCATTGTATAATTATTATTTTTATTGTTAATCCTATCTCGGCAGCCCCTGCATTTCATGGGATAGGGTAAAATATGGACTGAACTGGACTATTTTGTGGACCATTTTATAAGGGGGGGAGGTACTCCTTTAGTACTCAGGGAGGGGTGGATGCAGTCTACAAGTACTAAGGGAGGGGTGGGGGCAGAGTGTTATTACTCAGGGAGGGGTGGTAGGTGGTTGTAATTGTAAACACTACTGGTTAATGGAGCTTTTACTCGATCGTAATAATTATTTTAAT